AAGATGGGCTTGGCTCCTATCGCCGAGGATGCGGACAAGCGCGGCAACATCTACTTGGCTGAGATGAGCTACAACATTCCCATGCGTAAGTCCTCCGAAGAATTGACATGGTATACACATAGCTAACAAAACAATAGTACGGTCTCTGTCCCAGTACGGAGGAGCACTCACCTCTCTGCAGCTGCATGAAGTCCCCATGATGGACCTCCGCATTCTTGAGCTGATCCTTTCGGCTTGCCCTGCGCTCGAGATTCTGGGAATCGACAAGTGCGAGCTTCTTCATGTCGCGGACATCAATCCAATCCTCGACATCGCCTTCCGACGCGCCAAGAAGACTGGTAAGAAGCTGAGAAAGCTTCAGTTCTACCCTCGTTCTTACACCGAGCCGGCCCACAACCGCACTGGCACCCACGTTCTCTCATGGAACCCATTGAAGACCAACGTCGAGACAAGCCTCCTCATTACAGTCTTCTGGGCCATTCTGAAGGCCGTTCCCATGGGCATTGACCTCGTGTCCAAAGGACAGCCTTTCCGCCAGTTCCTCGATCTCGTGCCGATGAGGCCCGGTCAAGTCGCGGTATTCCTTCACCACGTGTTCAAGTGGCTCGAGGCCGTGGAGACTCCTGGCGCCTATGACTGGCTCACCGAGACGCAGAGTCCCGAGGGTCAATTCCGCAACCCTGGCCTTCTTATGCTCGAGGATCAAGTTCTCCTCAGTATGCTCCAGGGAACGAAGGGGTGCAAGACGATGCTGAAGCATAAGCGAGCATCTTATTACAACGAGCAGTACGAATGCTGCCAATGTGGTTGCGAGATGCTCGCGATTCTCTTCCGTGAGGAGATGAAGTCTCGCGCAGCCGATCATCGTGTCTGCCGCATCTGCGACCTTCGGGGTGAGCTCAATGGAGAGAGCCACCATCGCCTTCATGACAAGAGAACAATGCTCAACCGATTTCTCTACTCGCCCAACGATATTGAGGACAAGACAGATCTCAGTGACGATGAGATGCAGAGCGTATCGGCCCCTCCTCGACGCAATCCCTTCATCAAAGGAGAGACGATCAATGGAACTCATCGTGAAGAGGCCGTTCTCCAGCACCGAAGCCTGCCCAAGGTTCAAGTTCTTATCGGCGAACGCAGAAACTTTGATATTCTCAATGCTGCGGGACAGGCTGCGATGTACGATGCCGAGGAGGCGGGCTGGTGGAAGGCTGGGATCTTCAATGATCACCCAACCATGACCAAACAGACTCCGTATACGGAGATGAGAGTCGCCAACCAGGGCATGCTTCGCAAGCAGTCCTGGGAATACGTCATGTGGAAGAACTACTACAGGGATTCCGGCTTGGCCGAGCAGCAGGCGGCGGCAATGACAGCTGGCCACGAACCTCCCAAGCCAGCCGGCTTTTGGTGAGAGAGAGCCCTCGAGAGCTCGACACGACAATCCTTGAGGCACCCGTAGAGTCGAGGTAGCCCTTGGATGCATACATCAACAGCATTACTATCAGATATCACATTATTGGCAGAGCTGGCACGATCAGCCTCAGCCCATCAAGAGCAACAGATGACGTTCCGACAAACCTCTTCTATCCGAAACCCTTCGACCTCTCCTCCCACTCCGGAACATGACGAGACGATATTGGATTTGGAAAGTGGAAGATACTGCACTGTGCAAGATGGATTGGAAAGAAACAAGCTTTTACGTTTCCTCGTCATACACTATTAGACGGCATTGAGCGCTGCCCATTGAAAACACAACAAGATGGACAGAGAAGAAGCTGGCGGTTTCGCATTGCTTTACGATACTGCATCAGACGGCGATGGCCGCTGTCTGTCGCAAAGTCAGGCCCATACACCTCCAGGGTAGAGGTAAAAGAACAGACGACCCTCTCCATACGCACGATTATGGCAAATGAGAGAAAGGGATAATTGTATGATAATTGGCTGGCTTGATTCTTCTCATTTGGCTCGATTGGTTTTGCTCTTTCAGATTTCCCTCATTCGGCATTGCAGCCAGATCCCATAATAAGATTCTCAAGGAATAGGCAGGGCTAGCATAATAGTCCATAGAAGCTATAGCCATTCTCACTCTGGTGTCTCTGTGGTATGCTCTGTTGCCTCTCACGTGAATAAAGCACTCGGTTCTCTGTATGATGCCGCACCAGATCTTGTTCTACAATGTGATACATCTCTGAGTCTCTGATGTTGTACAAAATGATTACACGCTGCCCATGCGTCCCAACTCCATCTAACATTACAAGGCCAATGCAAACAACGGCTTTGGCTGGGGAAAAAAAGGGGGTTCAAGATGAGATGGGGAATACCGCTCAGGAAGGAGACTCCCCCGACTGGTTAGATGTAGACTCCTCAGCCTGGGTAGAAGAACCCGCCTCAGACTGATTCTGCGGCCCCTCAGTCGACAACCCAACCACGTTCCTCAACGTGCCAAAACTCAAACAATCGCTGATCCGGCTGGCGCCAGAGAACAACATGACAAGCCTCTCCACACCACACCCCCAGCCACCCGTCGGCGGCAACCCAGCCTCGAGCGCCCGGATATAGCTCTTGTCGAGCGGCGCGTCCCTGAGCGGGTGCGGGTCGTCCGCCTCGAGCGGCGCGGCGTCCTTGCCGGTGCCGAAGAAGCGGTGCTCGGCGAGCTTGCGCGCCTGCGCGGCCGGGTCGTTCTCCTCCTCGTACATGTTGGCCAGCTCGCGGCCGTTGACGAAGAGCTCCGTCCGCGCCGACACGAGCTGCAGCGTCTTGGGGCAGACGAAGCTCTTTGCGAGCGGGGACATGCAGGTCGGGTGGTGCGTGATGAAGAGGGGGCCCTCGAAGGATTTGGGCTCGAGGTAGATGGCCGCCAGGCGGTCGAGGAGCTTGGGCATGGTGGGCGGGACGCCGCCGGGCACCTCGATCTTGCTGAGGGCCAGCACGGCGACGAGCTCCGAGTAGGCGTCTTTACCGGTCAGTTTTGGGAAGCGGAAGCCGAGGGCCTCCTCGAGGGCCGGGATGAACTCGAGCTGGCGGAAGGGGCGGGCAAACTTGGAGAGGTCGACGGGCTGGAGGGAGGTAAGTTTGGTATCGATGAGCTCCTGGCAATGTGTGGCCAGGCCGGAGAGAAGCTCCTCGGTGCGGTCGATGAGCTCGGGGAGGTTGGTGTAGGCGCTGTAGAACTCGCACATTGTGAACTCTGGGTTGTGCGTGCCGTCGATGCCTTCGTTGCGGAAGGCCGGGCCGATCTCAAAGACCTTGTGGACGCCGCCGACGACGAGGCGTTTGAGCCAGAGCTCCGGGGCGATGCGCAGGGAAAGCTCCTTGGAAGGGAACTCTGTGGCCTGGGTGGTGAAGGAGCGGGCGACGGCGCCGCCAGCGTTCTCGGCGAGGATGGGCGTCTGGAACTCGAGGAAGGATTTGTCGTGAAAGTAATCGCGCATGTACTTTGTGATGTGGGAGCGCATGCGCAAGACGTCGGCGACTTCGGGGTTGACCATCATGTCGACATGACGCTTCGCGGCCTTGGTCGCTGGGTCCGTCAGGGTCTGGGGGATCTGCTCCATCGCGGGGGACAGCAGCTCCGGAAGCACAACGGCTTGAAGCGTGAGCTCGCCGGTGCTTGTGCGCGTGGGCCGGCCGGTGATGGCTGAGGGGGTTGTAGTCTTAGCATCATGTCACCCAACTCAAAGAGAGCAGCCAGGAGCAGCAGCAGCAGCAGCAGTAAATGATGGGCTTACAGATGTGGTCGCCCTTCTCGATCAGCCGGGCAAAGAGCTTAAAGGTATCAATGTTCATGTCAGGCGAGTGGGCGCCGAGATTACGATAATTGATCATGCCCTGGATCTTCTCGAACTCATTGACAATAGTGACGAAGACGAGCTTGTTCCCGTGGAGACGAACGGATTGGACGCGGCCTGTGGCCTGTCAGCGAAGGGCCGATGGTGGTTAGGGACGCCGCCGGCCACAAGCTGCTGCGGCGACTGCTGCTGCTCTTGTGGAACGACGACTTGTATTTCATTCTGCGTACCATACAGGGTGACGACCTCGGCGTTGCCAGGGTCACTCAGCTCCTTCTTCTCCCAAACCTTCCTAAAGGCCGGGACCGACATGGGCTTCTTGCGATGGACCAGTCGCGGATGCGTCTCCTTAATCACGCCCTTTTCGCGCACTTCCTCCAGCGCCTGGAGGCGCATCTTTTTGAACTCTGATATCCTAACCGCTTCACTCTGTGCTGGCGTGTCCTGCTGACCCTGCTGCTCCGTCCCCTTTGCTACCCTATCCTTCTTCTGCCTCTTCCCTCCGGGCCCATCCTGGACGCTGGCGCCACTTGGTCGACCGACGTGGAAGGACTGGGCTAGTCTGGCAACTTGTGGTGTGCGTGTTGCCGGCCGCAAAAGCCGTAGACTCTGAATTAAAGTCATCGCGTCTGATTACTTCCTGTTAGCTTCGTGGTTCTTACAAGACCAATGGACTGCTAATAAGGTTGGAAACAGTGAAGGATGTCAGATAATAGGCGGTTTAAATCAACCACAACAAAAGAGCTGTGTAAGTCGCAGCGGTTCTGAATTGCTTGCAATCATCATATTAAAGGTAGGATAGAGGGAGAGAAAATGGAAGAGCGGAGCTCAAGACTTACCACCATAGTCGCCCAAGAAGATTCTGGCTCTTCTTGGTGTGGCCAAAAGATAGTTTTAGGATCACCTTTGGTACAGAAATTTTGCGACAGCGCGTTTTTATCGTGGCCAGAAACGGGTCTTTGACGTTATCGATAAAGCCGTACGGAATAAGCCGGCCCGGGAAGAGGGTTCCCAACCCAGCAGCGGCGATTGGACAAGGGAGCTTCAAAGCGGGGGCCGACTCTTGCGTACCTCACGCAGCAGACAGGACAAGCTGAATTGCCCCAGGCGCGCATCTGGGTAGGTAGCTGACGGACGATAAGATAAGGCAAAGGAGCTTCGTAAAATCTCGACTCTGCGACGTCAAGCAACCAAAGCTGTCCGCAAGTCAATAATCGCTTCAGTCGCATCCCACGAACCTCGCTACTGATTCATCATCACTTCGCTCTTCCCAATTTATTAGAAACTCCAGAACCACAAACCGCAAATATGTCTTTCTTCGGAATGGGCCGCCCCAAGCTGTCTTCGGACGAGAAGATCGCCATGGCTGAGCAGGAGATGCGTCTGCTGGCTGATATGCACAACCGGTACGTCGCCATCGACAACACCCTTTCCTAGGGAACTCCCTCTCGAAGCATTCAAGCCTTTTAAAACCTCGAAGCGAAGCGGATGCATAGAGGATAAAACGTGGGAGGAAGAAGGATCTCGTCGAAACAACTGTGGCTAACATGCGCGTCATAGCCTGACCAAGATCTGCCAAACCAAGTGCCTCCCCGACTACCGCGAGGGCGACCTCAACAAGGGCGAGTCCGTCTGCCTCGACCGCTGCGCCGCAAAGTTCTTTGAGGCGCACATGAAGGCCTCCGAGGTGATGCAGAACGAGAGCCAGAAGAGAGGCGGCGGCGGTATGGGTGGTGGCATGTTCTAAGTTTCTGTCAAAACGAAATGGAGTGTACACGAATGAGCGCCAGTCATGATGGGTCCTGCGACTGAAGAATCACGATAGAGGAGAGACAGAGAGAAAGAGCATCGACAGAGCAAGGGCGGCCTCGCGGAGGCTGCCTTTTTGCTCTTTGTAGCATATGCCATGACGCAACAACATCTCAGGATGAGATGGGGACGGGGACGTGGAGTGGGAACATCGCGTCACAAGCTTGGGCAAAGCTTGGGAAGACGTGACCTATTCGGATGTACTTTTGAAGCAACACCTCGCAACCGGGGGCTTCGTGTATAATACAAAGGGGGACTGGAAACAAGTCCTGTCAATGAGAAGAACTACCCTCACAACTTTCAGGCTTTATCTATGTACCCTGACAAGTGGATGATAAAATTCCCGGTTCACGTCATCGAGTGATACAGAAGCCATATGATAATGGGCTTTCTGTCCGGGTAGCTATTTAAGAGTTAGCTATCTAGTAAACTCAACACTTATTGCTCACGTCCTGTAGGCGGCATCTCGTTATCTAATCGTTAGTTAGCGTGACGCATGCTCTCCACGGTGAAGTTCTTGGTAGGCAAATTCGATGCAGCTGAGGAATTGGAGGTTATAAGAAGATTGTCATACGGATTAGGGTGTTGTGTACTCATGACCTTCAACTTGAGATCTGAGGCCGCTGCCACAACCATCAGGAAGGCATGTCTCTGATTCATAGTCCACCCAGGATCTTGTCTTTAATGACCAAAAGTCCGCAAAGTAGTAGAGATCTCTGTGTCCATCTGTTTTGAAATACTTCAGTCCGATCCAGACGTCGTTCTGTATGAGATCATTTGAGTACGAATGCAACCCAAGTTGAGTTGACAAACATAGTGTATCAACTTTGGTTCATTGCACTGGACGAAGCTGCGATCTAGCAACAAGGCTCTTGACATGATTCTCAGTTCCGGGACGTCCAGCATGTAATGGTGTTAACTTTTCACAGAGCGACATCTAGTGTAAGATACCATTGCGAAGTTATAAGAACTCGATGGCAAGAGTACCCGCACCTGGCGTCAATACTTTCATATTCTTCAAGTAACTGATGCCTGTACATCAAACTGCGCAAAGGCAAGCTATGCAGATGGCCGACCTATATTTTCATGATAAAAGATATCAGCTCACTCTCAAGTGACCAAACTTCAAAACAGTCTCCCAAATCACGAAGCCTCAAAATCAAGTGCTCTGATAGGCCAGCAACGGCAAATATGGCAAAAGAAGCCAATGCACCAGAGGACAATCAAACAAAAAGACCCGCGGGCCCCGTCCTCCCTTTTAGGCGAATCGCAGTAACATGTCACCAGGTGGTTGGGAACTCGGGAGCCCATTCTTGGAGCCATCTTAGTCAAACCTTCCCTAGCCATAACGGAGCGACAACAAATTCCCTTTTTAGTCAGGGAGCTTTCCAGAAAACGTCCAAAAACGCGTGGCCGTCGTCGTCGTCGTCGTCACCGGCAATTCGGAGCCGAATTACCATCGGGATTCGGTCTTGGCCTTCAAGGTACCCGTAGAAACCTCAACTACTCAACCTCAAGTCGATTCTCAAAAATCTGCCTTGCCTTACTAAAGCATGTGGATTCGCGACGACGGTTTTCTGAGGGAGCTCGGCGCCGAGGAGCCAAGCGTCGGTACATGCTCGGCTCTTAAGGTTCAACCTCCGAGGGCCATACGGCGTAAGGTAAACCCGGTAAGTTTCAGAATATCTTGCGTGAAGTGCTAGAGCGGTTCACTGGTATTATCCGTACGGAGTAGTTTCTGCGCGGACTATCTTTTCGCACGTGGACCGGGAGTGGATTTGGGGAAGGAAAAGAGCCCGCCAGATCTGGGATTGCCCGCCGGTTCCCACGTGATGTCGCGATGGTTCTTCGTGGACGACGGCCCAGGGTTCTGATGACGAGGGGTGGGGAACAGGATGGCCATCCGGACAGCCTCATTTGGAGGAAAATGGACAAGAGCTAGAGCCAAGAGGCAGCCGGCACGAGTCGTTGTCGGTTTGCCTCGAATAAGCCGGGAATATGTAGCTACGTGCTCTGTGTCTGTGGTTCGTCGAGCCCCAATTGATAGACTTCAATTAATCAGCGTTAGACAGATAGAGTAATATCGGTCAACTTGGTCGGCAACGATGACCTCGAGAAAGCTAAACAAATCATCCGAAGAATTTAAGAAAATTGGTGTACTTCGTACAGAGTACCCATAGAGGGCAATCGTGCTCAACCAGGGCCACGTGCTTCGCTGCAGCGAAGCAAGAGCCTTTCTCTGATACCACAGACGCCGCGGTAGCTCAGTCGTGGTTTTGTGCATTCGTACATGACTCTCTGCCACCAGGGTATCACAATGAATTTTAAGCAGTGGGCGATGGATTGCTGTGAAATGCGTGGACGTGTTGAGTTGTCGACCGCCTTTCCATGTTACCCCAGAAACCAGAGGGTGTTGAACATAACAAAATGAAGGACTCCTTTCGTAATGTATACGAAAACCGAAGAAACGGGGCTCTTTCCGGGATGTGTTAAACATAGAATCGAGAAATTGAACGAGACTCCCCCGTCCCGTAAAGGTTGGTCGGAGGAATCCAATAGGCGAGATTGTCAACTGGGCCTTTCTCGCCCCCAAGCCAATCATCAAATTCGTTCGAAAAGTCGGTCAGGTCTAGACTTTTGAAGTCTGGTTGGCACCTTGCAGAAGAAAGACGCAGAAAATAGAATGTCATTATTGGGATGCAAAGTGCTCTCCATGAGGAAGACCGCGGCTGCGTTAACGATGGTGGCCGGGGAAGCAATGCCGGTTGATCTACCGCGAGCACCACCACCAGCTGGCATGGAGGGTGATGTAAATCCTCACTCTGTCGAGTAACTCATACCCGAGAGCTTGGGGCTCTGTTGACTCGTTTAGATCTGCGACAGGGTGAGTTGACGAACAGGCGATGAACGGGCTCCGGCGGGAATGACCAAGCCAAGCATTGGCCGTGCTATGCCGCCCTTGAAAAAGTTGAGCAAACTCAGGGTTTTGAAGGGAAAGGAGGAGAGGGATGCTGTTTCAACAATTCGGACGAAGACGAGAGAGTTGGCAGGCCTGGCAGTATGTGTGTGCTGCGCGGCTCAGCCAGCATGGAGCTTGTTTCGTACGCATTGACGGGAGGACGTCAGCAAAGATAAGAGGTGCATGAGGGGTCGTAAGGCAAGGAAGGGTTGAGCGGACGAGACGTTGACAGAATTCCCGTTCTCAGTTGAGTCTGGAGAAAGTTTGTGCGTATCAGTCTAAGTGTGAGAGAATGTCTTCGCGATGGTGGTTCAGTTTGACTGAGCCTCAAACCGTGGTGTCGCGATGAAGTTGCCGGTGTGGCTTAGCGGCTTTTCTTGTGTGTCAGCCGAACCTGTCGTCACTGCATTATTATCCGTAATACTGCACAAGGCCGATCGTCATCCTCTACCTATGCGAGGGTGCGTAGGTAATCATGGCACATATCTCGGGGCGGCGCTCGCGGACGGGTTCCAGTGGGGTTCTGGGATCGGAGGCCGTGGGTCCAGAGATGAGGGCGTGGGCGTGGGCATGGGCGGCATTGAGGAGGGTGGGAGGGATGTAGCGAGTGCGGGAGTGCAACGGTGGCATGGTGGACGGGTCGTGGAGATGACGGTCTTTGAATTGGGTCGAACTGACGTAGCACGTCTTGAAGACTTGGCGGCGCCGGGAATGGGGGCAGCTGGTACGGAGTACAGGTATGGATAGAAGCGAGCCTATCCGGTCCTTCTTGGAAAGGCCTCGTTCCAATCCAAAGAGACGATTATCCGCATAGAGATTGCATGTCCATGTTGGTATGCGTATCTGTGAATAGAAAGGTAGGTACGGATACCGGTGAACTGTATTGGCATCTGTAGCGAAAGCCAAAGAGACGCGTACTCTGTCTTCGCTTATTTAGTGCTTTGCAGAGAATTATTGCTTTTTGAAACTTCGTAACGGGGAATCTATAGCGGAAGATGCCGTAAGCTTGGATGGTTGGTTCGGGATACCTACGGCCTACGGGCCAGGAATCGGAGTGAGATGAAAGCAAAGCAAAACAAAACAAAACAACGTGATGGAGGCAGCAAAATAGAAAGCCAAATCAGCCATATGCACGATCGACATGTGTGATGTTATTTTGGTCGCAAAGCTGGCATGAGCCGTCAGCCGCTTTCCCTTCAGCCCTTTGACAACGGAACGCCGGGAAATCAGCACCTACCTTGAGCTTAGAAGGTTGAGACTAAAGCAGGTAGGTGCTACCTAAGCAGGAAAGAAGCGCGCCTGGCGTCTGGGATGGTTCGCAGATGAGCCTATCACCCGCCTGAGGAAGTCACGGCGTGGTCCGGCTGGGCAGTCTCGAGGCCGGGAATGATCTAGGACGGTAGGACCAGTGGTGATCAGTCTTGCGTCTTGCGTCAAGGACTAGAAGTAGAACAAGGGGAAGAAGAAAAAAAGGTTGGCAAGAATGTGGCTGTGAGCCAGGCCTCATCTCATATTTTCGATCGGATATCCAACCAACACTGTCTCCATCATGACGACCACAGATCACACACTCCGAATCAATGTCAACAATAGTGCGTGCTACTGCTACTCAGAAGTTTTCCGGGTCCATAATTACTACGCACTCCATACTGCCCTGATAGCAGTTGTAAATGAACGGTAAGGTAGCGGAGTACGGCTATTCCGCACCCACACGAAGGCTATTCCGCACCCATACTAGGCCTACTCAAGCAAATAGTGGGCTGCACGTGACTGCACCGCCGCAGCAGCCACATTTGACCCGGAATTTCTATTATTCCGGCAGTTTCGAGAGGATTGGAAGGCGCACCTTCCACTGCTGCTCCTTCCACTGCCTGCTGCACCTTCCACTTTGCCCTCTTTTACAATGCCGCCTATGCGCGCTTTTCGGAGTTAGAACCACGACTTCAGAAGCCAGTCTTTGCTCAGGGGAAATACTTCTC